GGATACATTAATCCAAAAGAGGCACACCAGAGATTTATACAATTAAATAACTACCTTCTTTTCTTTAAAGTCAAAGATACTCTTGATCATTCCGAGGGTTTTATAATTGGATTCTGAAAACAAACTCAGTTAACCTTCAACTTATAAAGCTGTAACAATAATATTGCAATTAGCTAGAGTTCATGCACCTTGCAGCAACATTTTGATTTTGTCCGAGCATAGGAGTGTGGACGGGTACAGGCGAACGGTTGTGGGCCGTCACCGGCGGACAGCTTTAATCCTCCGGCAATAGCTGCCGGAGTGGCAGCTCCCTATTTACCCATCGGCTACGGAACACCTGCCGGAGGGTGTGGGGGGACACTAATGACGCTACTCGATTGATTGATTGATGAAGATTAAGCCACCCAAGAGGTGGCTCGGCATGCTCGATTTTAGTTGTGTTGTTGTTAATAGAGTCAGCACCATCTGGGTCACCCATTTTTGTCCCGGGAGACCACGCATGGTGCAGTCGCGCCTCCACAGATCTCCAGTATCAGCTCTTGATACTGGTAATACTTACGGGCATTCATGTGCCACCTCTTGGGTGGCTTAATCTTCATCAATCATCAATATAGAGTCAGCTACTTGGAACAAGTTCCAAGTAGCACGGACTATGGTGAGCCCGTAACTTACCTGGCACAGGAGCGGGGCAAGTAGCACGGGCTATGGCGAGCCCGTAGTGGACCTTACCTGGCACAGGAGTGGTGCCCCGTATTTTAGTGATTGATTGATTGATGAAGATTAAGCCACCCAAAAGGTGGCACGGGCAAAGGTGATCTGCAGTATAGCCTGAGATCGTATTTTAGTGGTAACTATAATGTTCTTATACCACAACACACACACCTCACCACCACTTACGGGCTATTCATGCCCGTGCCACCTTTTGGGTGGCTTAATCTTCATCAATCAATCAGTCAACTAGTCCGCTCCTGTGCCAAGTCCACTACGGGCTCACCATAGCCCGTGCTACTTGCCCCGCTCCTGTGCCAGGTAAGTTACGGGCTCACCATAGCCCGTGCTACTTGGAACTTGTTCCGAGTAGCTAAATTTAAAACAACAAAATAGTCAACTATTGAGGGTTCCATCCTGGGAAAGGTTAGTAGTTGGCCTAGAGAGACCTCGATATACCTAATAGACTTCCTGTACCCGACGATGGGAAGACAACACCATATAAGAAATATTGTGGACTGTTGCGCTCACACAAGTTACAGCCCCGCTCCTGTGCCAGGTAAGTCCACTACGGGCTCACCATAGCCCGTGCTACTTGGAACTTTTAGTTCCCAGTATCTGAATCTAAAATAGCAACAACTGCTGTGCTTCTGCATTCCCCCACTCACGGCTACCCAGTCCCCCTTTCTTGCCCTTCCACCTGCTCTGGTTTTCGTCAAATCTTCCCACTTATTCTTCTTCCCCCTAAGGCCGATCGTCTTTTGTTCACTCTCCAGTCCTTACAAGGCTTTACTTTGGGGTCCCCTCCCCCGTCCCTCCTCCCCACTATGGCTCTGAAGGTTGGACTCGCCGACCAATGAGTGCGCCTCACCCTCGACCTTTACCACAGCCTGTACCATCCCACCCTCATACAAGATCCACTCACCCTCACCCTCTCAGTCTTCCTCCTCTACAGACTGAGCCTTATTACACATAAATGTAAAGTTATGATGAAAGGAACAGTAGTGAGGAGAGCCTTGCAGCAGTATAGGCCTACACAATGAAGATGAGGCAGATTCCTGCATTAGAAAATGAAACAAACGTGACAGTGTACACAAGCACAGATCTAGTGCCACAGGCGCATATTAGCTGAATAATGTTAAAAGCATTTGCTTGGTAAAGTGGCCGACGTCCGGATAGCGTTCACGAACTTAAATAAGAAACCTGAGTACTTTATACAACCTACGTGAGACCTACTTTGAGTATGCAGCACCGGAACAGAACCCCGCCTGAAAAATCAGAAAACAAAACTAGAAGAGGTCCACAGAGAGGCAACAAGGCTCGTTCCTGAGTTCAAGGGCTTTAGCTATGAGGGAAGACGCATACTCACATCAAAGTGAGTATGCGAAGAAGTTAAATTTAATGTTCTTTTTTTTAATTTTGTCCCGAAATGAGAGTTTACTGAGAGGAATCCCTCATTCTGAGTGAACATACCGCTATAGTAGCAATGTGTATTAATAGGCATCCTTCAGTCTCGGGAGACTATGGAGTTGCGCCCTAGTTGTCAAGTAGCAATAAGATATAAGTATATATACTTATATATCTTATATATACTTATACTTATAGATACTTATAAGTAGATATAAGTAGCAATGTGTAAAACTATTATAAAGAAAATCTACGGGGTTCTTCATCCTGTCACTTTGTATCAGTATCTAGGCGCTACTGGGACCTTAAGTGAAAATGTACAACAAGGAGAGTATAATATTTATAATTCTTTAAGATTACGTTGTCTTGCTGGTTTAAATTAAGCATTTCAAGACCAGCATCTATATTTTACTAATAATGATATCCTAACTCAAAGTGAAATCTAAGCGAGGAGAAAATGGAGGAAGGACCCCTTTCTCCACTAGCGGGAGAACTGAGGATAAGAATAATCCTTAATTATATTAAAGAATGTAAATGATTCTTGATTTAATAAAATCATTAATGTCACTAATATTTATGCACAATATAAACTAGTTGCTATAAGGTTGTATTGCATATTTAGCATAGATAATAATATTTTGTAGAGGAATGAATTCTTAAATAATGTAAGAGCCAAGGACAGAGCTGATAACGTCCAACTCCCTGGCTGGAATAGCAGCCAATGTTATCTTTATTTTTATGGGGGCCTCCTTTACGCGGTGAGAGGTGCTGCCCACTAAATTAAAGCCTCGTAAATTGCCCAATCTAATCACTATAGATAATATCCATTTCTGAGTCTGAATGTGACAATGAGTGACGGCTCCAATCTTAAAATTTAAGGAGGGGTTGGAGGGGCCTGGTATGATAGCTAAGCTGCCACCCTATAGTGAAATTTAAGACAGCTGTCTAATATGTTATACTTACCTAAGATCCATAGACGGAGTGGAAATTTGATTGCGTAATTTTAGTTTTATAAGGTAGCCAACTCCATCAATGTTAAATTGTACTGACTCTACTTATGACAAATCAATCAATTAACATATCAATGAATCCCAGCCCAACCTCAGGGTTTCACGCATGGCCTCATGCATTCTGGTCCTAGTCTAAGAATTCTACCTCCAACGCTTCTTTTCAAATGCACAAGTAGATCATATTAATATGATGTATCAGTGCGAAAATCAATAAGGGCCATGAGAAGGATTCGAACCTGTATATGCTCTGCATATTCCCAAGCAAACGCCTTAGACCACTACACCACAACATGGTCAAAAGCAATGCAATCAGAGACTACCGCCCCCCCCCCTGCACCAGAATGCATGCGGGCAATGGGTGAAACCCTGGATAGGCTTCAATTAGTCCTAAATCTACCAGATCCTTAATCTATCAGATAAAGTAAGAGTATTTAAAAATATATTGTAGCAAAATTAGAGTTCAACATATATACATTGATGGTATTGATTATACTGATGAAGTTGCATGCCTTAAGTATTAGGATTATGCGAGTGGGTACCACAAGATACAGTGTGAGTTTGAAGCAAAAGGTTGGAAACTATTAGGAGGAAGTAAAAAAGTACCAAAGGAAATTTGGTACTTTTTTTTTCTTTTGAATAAAGCATAGGCTCGACAATTTCCTTAATTCATTAGCGAGTGAGTTCCATGGACTGGGTCCTTTTAATTGCATGGAGTATTTGCACAGATTTAGTCTGACACTAGGGATATCATAGATATATTTATTCCTAGTGTGGTGCTCATGGGTTCTGTTACATCTATCAAGAAAGAGTTTCAGTTCGGGTTCCTAAATGAACACGGTTTTGCACATGTAAATAGTACGAGAGAATGTGTAAAGTGAGTGTGTTCAGCACGTTTAGGGATTTAAACAGAGGGGCTGTTGGTGTTACATAGCCTTCCCGGCTTGGTGCCTTTTGATAATTACTTACTTACAGAGGGGCCGTGCGTTGTCTGAAGACAGAATTTGTACAGTTCTGAATTTACCTGTCCTCGACGAGGACAGGAAGTCGGTGGTTTGTCTAAGGTCCCCCTCATTTGCCCTGATGATTTTTTCCAGCTGTATTTTAAAACCCAGAGAGTTTTGGTGTTTACGGCTTTGGCGGGTAAGCGGATTTTTGCTGGGTGATGTTCCACTACCGCCCATAAGATGGGTATGGGGTGCATAATAAATGAACTAAACTAACTGATGATGGGCTTGAGGTAATTTGCAGAGATTTGCTGAAGTGCTGTCTCTTGTTTAGGTATAGGCCAAGAAACTTTCTGTAATTTGTAATTCTAATGTTAACATTGTCTACCTGAAGGTGAATTTGGTTTGATGATTTACTTCTAAATGAAATGTAGTAGATCTTTTCTGTGTTTAGTGTGAGTTTATTGGTTGACATCCATGAGTGAACTTTTCTTTATTCGTTATTTACAGTAATATTTAATTAATTTAATGTGTACTGTGGGTTGGATACTCACAGTATCAGAGTTATCACAGGCATACATGCGAGCTAGTCAACTGCTGTGGAGATGCATCACTGGGAGGGGTCAGTAGTTCGACCTTAGATGCCAGAGTAACGAATGCATATACACAGGCTACCTAAATCCTCCTTCAAAACGGATTATTATTAACATATATGACAGAGCTTCGATCTGGCATTGCACTCTGCATCGAGTCGAAGTCGTTGATCTTTAATGATCTTCTTAGCTGGGGAGGGGAGGGAAGGAGAGTTAATGTACCCGACTAAATATAAGGTTGTCATTGAATTAGGGGCAACGACGACGACCATAGGACGAGAGATATAGGAGAGAGAGGCGCTCAATCAATTTCAGGTTTGGCGGGTGTGTGGCGGGTTGTGTGTTGGACCGCGGGGCGGCGCCACACGCGGCCAGCCAGGTGTCAGCTGCTCCTGCCACACTTGCGACGCAGATAACCCACTCCAGCAGGTACCCGCTCTTCCACACCATGTCATCCACCGAGGAAATTGAAGTTAAAGCTGGACATCCTCCTGCGAGTAAGTGTGAAACATTGGTAACTCGGAATAATTAATTTATGGAGTATGAAGGGGGTTTTAGTCAAGTATTTGCTTCTGCCTCTTGTTGCTAGGAAATATCCGGCGGTCTTGACCGATCATTAAATGTTTGCTGCTCAGACATAGTGCAAATAAATGTGTCTGTACCTTTGGAGTGCACAGCATTTCTCCATGGACATTCATTTTGTTGATTGTTAAATATAAAGACTTGTACAAACCGAGGAAAGGTATAAAATGTATGGCAGCTGGACGGGTGCAGGAGGCTGCTACGTGCTGTCTCCTGCACATGCCATGGCCCACCTCTGGAGCAGCCCTCGGCACACGCTTCACAGTAATATTCGCTATGGTTAGATAATAGAAACTGCTACTACGGCATATTTGAGGTGTGTAGCCTAGTGCAGTAAACCTACAGAGATGCGAAAGCATTGTATCTTAAGTCTGTATCTATTTGCATTTTGCGGGCTACATATTCTTTCTGGCGTGGCGCCGTCTTTATTAATTACTTGCTTGCACTTGGGTTTGGTGAGGTGAACTATATGGACGGAACAGTGTTGTCTATTCATCTTCAATGCATTGCATTGGCAGTTTGATATAGTATTTTCAGTAGAAAGTACTCTACGTCATCGTAACCAGAGTGGCCTTGTCGGGAGAAGAAATTCTATGGCTTGTGGAAGCTTCCCACATTTTGTTTCCAAGTAATATTTTAAAGTTGTGAGCAGATGGTGATGTTGCTTTAAATAACCGAATTGGGTTGAATTTACCCGAGAGCCACTAACACTTAAGTGGCCTCGATGAGGACAATAAGACTGTGCCTTGCGAAAGGTCCCCTCCCCCCCCCCCCATTTGTCCTAATGATTTTTTCAAACTGTATTTTAAAATTTAAGCACATTTTGGCATTTATTGCTAAGGCGGGTAGGCTGTTCCACAAATTTATAACCCTGTGGGTGAAAAGGTAACTCCTGTTTTCAGTCCTACATTGTGGCTTGAGCTTGAAACTGTTGCTCCTTGTTTGTTTCAATGTTCTCCATGAGCAGTACATTAAAATATGCAGTAAAATAATCCATTTCATGTTATCACTACATAAACGGGAAAAGTCTGTAATGCCTACATGTATGTATATTCTGAAATGTAGTTATTTGCAGAACAAAGTTAGTGCCATTGTCCCATAGTACACCAGCATTGTTCACAGCACTATTGTGGGCATGTATCCTACCACCAATATAACTGTTGGCCAGGAGATAAAGGCCTTGTTTTATTTTTTAATTCCTAAAATTAATTTTTATGCTTTTTAAATATTCATAATTAGAGATGGAGATGTTTTTTAAGGGAGTTAAAATACTATAATACTGTACACGTACCGATACATGTAAAACATCAGTTAACATCTGTTTTTTTGTACAGTGAAGGTAGGTGGGGTACGCATTCCTCAGCGAAGGAGGAGTGCAGAAGAGAAGGAAGGAACCCCACCTAAACCAAGAAAGGATAGTGAAAATGATGAGGAGGATGATGAAGAGCAACTTGTGGCAAAGAGGTATGTATTTTTTATTAAAATTTGAATGTTTATGTAACATGGTTGTTTAACCAGTCTACATTCTGTAGTGATTTTCTATAAACATTCTTTATATAGTAGAATGTGTACAAAAAATGGTTTGAAAAAAAAAGTTAAGATTTAAAGCTGTATGACATCATTCCAGTAATGTCCTTGGATTCCCTTGGCTCTTACTATATGGAAGCATTACTTTGGGAAAAGTATAGGTCTTATTGTCTAGGACCATAGTTATAAGGCACATTTAGTGTCCAGAGTAAAGTTCTATCTTAAATGCTTACATTAATTAATTGTATATTTAGTCATTACACGAGTCAGTATTAATTATAAAGTTCTGATATTATAGAACTAATTTTTTCATATACCTGCATAGTATCTTGAAAATAACATTTAATTCAACAAATAATTCTTATACTGTATAGGTTACTGTACATTCCAACTTATTTAATGCATTTTCACATTACAAAAAGTTTATTTTAAAACAGCCCTCCAAGAGCTCCAATAGTGGTGTCAGGTGTAGTTGGCAAAGTGGATAGAGACTTTCCCACAGCAGCAGTAAAGCACACACATGAGAAGCCAGTACCCACTCATGAAGTACGTACTGCCCATAATACAAAGCCACCAGTCATTCAGCAACCCAGGAAGTAGAGAAGAAATATTAAATGTCCATATGCCATTCAGGATGTTAGCCGTCTCATCTCCTAACTGCCTGTGACCAGGATACAAGTATTGGGGCTATGTATTATAGCCAATAAGGACCAAAATATTTGAGTGATAGTATTTGTGCAGATATTGATAAATAGTTGGATAAAAAAGAATGAGTATTCTTTGATAACTTACAGTTTGTAGTTCGACCTTAACACAACTCGCTCAAATATTCAGGGTAAGATTGCCAGGTACTCACTGTTAATGTTGGTAGTGATGGAATAAATAGGAATCTTTTGTTTCCAGTGTAACACTGAGAAGGATTATTCGGAAGTGATCACCCAATTACTTTTGTAGGTGTGTGTGTACTTTTACAGTTGTTAAGGCTACTGTGCTTAATATTACAGTAAATGATGTGACTTTAATGTAGTACAAATACACTATGGTTGCGTGATAATTAAAAGGGGTAATCTATACTAGCAGACTATCATTAATAATTAGCTTATATTGTTTAAAAAGCTGTTAAATCAATGGTGCACAGTTATATATGGTGCACATCCTAGCAATATTGAATTCAACTGTAGCCACATTGGAGTGCTACTGATATTTAAATATCAATGGGTGACTTAATCATTGACTTGGATACTAGCAAGATATTTCATATATAAAATAAGAGCTTGGCATATTGTTGCCAAGAATAAATAACATAAAGCAGTATGGTAAGTTGCAGAGATTTTTCATTTTGAACAATGGTTTCCAGTATTGTGAACAGGCAGCCCATTAGTTTATTGAGGTCTCCTAATGTTTATGACTGATCTTTCCCAGGATGCTACCCATAAGTTACCAAATTCCTAGGTTCTGATTTATTGCCAGGTGAACAGAGGCATCAAGTGTAATGGAAATTGCAAAAACATCTCATCCATCATAATACAGTACAGTAATTGAATCCAGGACCATTGGTTGTGAGCAGAATTTGCTACAGGGCACCTTAATTATGATCTAATTCTTACCATATTGGACACGCATGATAATTGCATAAAATCTTTATTCCAGCATCATTACAACAATGAAACTAAAATTTAGTTTACTGTGGTTGTGGAAAAAAGAATATACAGTACTGTAATAGTTGTTTGGGACAGCTATGATAGGTACTAGATGCCCCCTTAGTTGGTCATTCATCACAAACCTTTTGCATATAATTGTACTGCCACTTTCCTATATTTGGGTCAAATATAGTGCTTGAAAAGCTTTAGAAGTTAAACTTCATTGTAGTTAGTATTTTGATACAGACCAAACAACTCGAGGAGAAATTTCAGTCGTTCTATTCAGCTATTTGTAGTTAAGGTTTACATTTATTTCCAAATACAAATGCTTGATATTTTCCTCATGATGTAGTGATGCAGGTTGAGTTTCATTGCATTTGTAAGACCCCAGCTATATTTACACATTAAAATACATAAATTAAGAACTTTTATGTAAAAATGGTGCAAATATGTTTTTGTTGGGTATTTTTTCTCTTGGGTAGGGTGAAGGGGGAAAATCTTTGTGGGGTTAGTTAGTTTTTTGTTTGTTTATATTTAATCTATAAATGGCCTTTGTATATAAAACTTATATTAAGCTTGAAACTATAAGTAATGGGTAACTTGCAGCCAATAATTATACAGTATAAAGATTTGTCATACTATTTTATATAACTTATTATTTCACTGAGAAGTTTATACAGTACACAGCCATGAAGACTTTGATGTCACAGTGTGGGAAGTCATAAGCTACATTACTGTCATCAGTTCTTGTCTAGTTTAACACTTTTATATAATTTTACTTGACAGGAAAAATGGTAATTTGTAATGGAAATAAAATTTGTCTTTAAAGATGAGAAGGTGGTGTTCAGGGAGCTTGTTTGAATCAACATGGAACTCAGGAGCTATAATTGTCTTTGCTTCTAATTACTGTAAAGTTTCTTGGTTGTGTGAAGAAATTATATATTGACCTTTATATATTGGTGCTTCTCCTTTTTGTTAAATTATTCCACTGTATGGGATTAAGTACACAGTTCAAATATAGTATTCAGAATGTCTTTATCAGTGAAAAGGAAAATTAAATTAGGATCGTTCCATTATGTTGTACAGCTAAGTACACAGTTCAAACTTTAAATAGACTTGTGTAAACAATGATTATCCATTTCACGGTCTTCTTTATTATGTCATTTTATGAAAGAACAGCGATCATTCATTTCATAATTGAGAGCCCTCCATCTATCCAGTGAACTGGATATAACATGTGCTATAAATTGGTTGTCATTATCTATGAATTATATTTCTTAGATTTAGGTAAGGTAAATTTTATTGGAAGTTTATTATACGTATTGGCCATCCTGCTTTTTGACCAAACCTGTACCAAATACTGAAAAAAAAAAGTTTGGCATTGTGGATGTATCCTCATGTTCCCTCAATAATACTGAAAATGCACTACAATATAGGTGTAATATATGTAAAAGAAAAAAATTACGGGCACGTACTTTGACCTCAAGATGACTTCGGTGGGTGGATGCCAGGCTAGTTTGATGAAATATGATACCCCCAATCAGTATGACATTTTCCAAAGTAGATATGGTGCAGTGGACGGCTCAGTCCCTGCCCTTCCCCTTCTCGTCTTCAGATGACAAAGCAGTCCCTGCTTTCCACCTGCAGATTGGTGGATTTTGGGGATGGGTAAGTTTATTGGCCTCTCACAGCCCAGAGATGGGGAGGATGTTGGACCAGAAATGTAACTGTTGTACATATAATATCTACAACCTTTTAGACCAACCAGGCAGATATGTACTGGAACACAGTATCAAGCGGCTATATATATATATATACACATGTATGTTTGTGTATATATATATATATATATAAATATATATATATAATATATACATTAAATTATTGGCAAGTAATTTGAGGTGAAGCCAATACCAGGACCAGCACAAGGCAAAGGCTGGGGTGACAAGATTAACAAGTCCTTGTTGCTCCAAGGCAAAATGTTCTTTGCCAAGTTGGAGGCATATTTATGAAGGCTCTGGAGCTTGACTAATATTAACATCTCTAAGGATGCTTTGGGAATGGTAAACCAAGTTGGATTGCTGTGCCAGTCCAACTTAGGCACTGTGGCATATGCTGATCCTTTGCTCCTAATTGTGGTGTAGGTATAGAACAGTTGTGGTATTGGGCAGGTCATTAGAGACGAATGTAGTTGGACTGTTTGAACAGAAGTCAGAAAATGGGATGGCCACTTCACTGTAAGTAAGTAGTGTGCAATTTAACTAGTCTAGCTTTTGGTGTAGCTAGTCATTTCAGTTCTGCAGATGAATTTTTAAGGCATAAAATGCCTTAAACATTCCTTGCCTTGCTACTAAATTCATCTATTGTGGTTTTTTTGTTGCTTGTAGTATTTTTAAAAAGTTCTTATATTTCTATTAGATTTGCATTCTTTAATGACCATTTTTATTTGTCAAAATACTGTGGCCATTTTTCTAATATATTTAAAAAATATTTTTTTCAATGTATGATATTCATTATGGTTTAAATATACAGTGATTGTGTGCTTATTAACTATGTGTTGTGAGTTCTGGAGCTTACGTTTTCTGTTTTTTATAGCAATATACAATCTATTTGATGTGTACAGTATCACAACCTTTGTCAAGTATGGGGTATAAAATTAATTTTATTTGTCTAACCTTACTGTTCAAGGTTGATACTGTATTATGGATGTGCTCGGTACTAAATTGTTTTGGAAAATTTTTAAGCAACATCATGTTTAATAAAAAAGCAACTGATATGATGTTCTTTTGCCTGTTGGTTTGAGTAAAAATCTGCAAATATGATTGTACTGGGGTTATTATTTTAATACCCAAAATCATCTGAATTCATGTCATGACTGCAGCTATGTTTCTTCTTTTTTTATACTATAGGATGTATTTGATAATGCAAGTTACAGGGAAAGCTCAACTTCCATAATTAACCCTACCCAAATTATTCTGATAATAGCAGCACTGAATGTACCCCTGCTCTAGTGCTTGGTGCTGGCCTAAAACTATCACCCACACAGTATTACAAGCTCTATATGAACTAACCCCCAGAGGGAGTCCCTGGGTCTTTTCACAGATACAATGTAACCCCCCAATCTCCCTCAACATCCATACATGGTACTCGACATAATTACTTTAAATACCTGGTCCCAGGCTTAATTTAACACACATGATTGGACAAAAAATCTATTCCGTTACGGCGTTAATAAGTTTTAGGGTACTAAATATTTTATTGCGTGTACCCCACAAACAAATTTGTCTTGGCACAGTTAGTGACTTTTGTTCTGTGTAAATTTCAAACTTATTCTTGGCCAATATGAGAATTTTTTATGGTAACTTATTCTTGCCCAAGGCAAGGTGCTAATCATAACATATGCAAGTGACATGTTTTCTAAAGAAAATGTTTTAGAAAAAAAAAATTCAAATTAAATGGTCAACCAGTAGATTAAATGTCAAATTAAAATTAGAATTGATGGCGCTAAATATCCAGCCCATTCTCTCGAGCTTTCACTGTCACTAAACAGGTTCGGCAAATTTAGTACATCAAACTTAACAGGATCCACTAATAGAAAATAGGACATGTCAATTTGCAAACCACTTTTTTTTTTGTGATTGGTTAGGACACTACATAGGTAAAGGTACTAAGTAGAGGAGAAACTGATAATTGCTTAAGACTTGATTGTGAAGACAGGTTGAAATACCCAGAAACAATTTGGATCTATTACTGATGTTAATTAAAATATTCAGAAACCATTGGATATAAAAAGCTTTATAGAGCTTGGTCATTTTATTAAATTATGAATAATTGAATTACCACATAGGACAATTCATGTTCACAGTATACAGCACCATGGAAGTATTATGGTACAGATACAGATTTTCATTACAGTAATTGCTAATTACTTGCCAAACATGCTACTGATATGCAATATAACTTCTTGCGTTATACATAAATCTTTGCTGCTGGTCATTTATATTGAATTTTCCACTGATAGCACGGTGACATTGTTAAAGTTACCGTTTGTAACTAGCACAAAACTTCATTTCTTTGAGTAATCATTCGTTGTCTGTCTTGCCACTAATGCATGCTGTAGTTAGAATAGCTTATTAAATAAGAAAGCAGGAAGGTAAAATGTTTTCCATTCTTGATCCTCTTAAAAAAGAAAAAAAAATTATAGGCACAAGTACACAACTGCAAACCTATTAAGTTTTGACTTTGCAATTTCCCTATGAAAAGAACATGTCAGTGCACTAATGCATCACATAAAATCATCTGAATCTTCATCAGCTGCATCCTTGTTTGTCTTCATGTTTTCCGACGCGAACAAAGAATTGTAGCTCCTGGAAGCAGACAACATAAAAGAAATTAAATATTCATCTATGCCAATTGCTTACCTTTGTGTTAACACAAAGATGTGTACTCTAACAAATATATATACTGTACTGTGGTGTGGTAAAGTTGAATGTGTGCTTCTGTCAAAGTTTGGAAGCCTTATGCTTGGGGCTAGCCTCACCCATCATTTTAAGATGATAGGTGGGTATTAGGGGACTGTCATAGACTGATCGGGTTTGGCCTCATTGCCTCCTTCCCACCAATAGGATTGGGGGCTTGGTTGTTCTGAGAATCTTTCAAATTTCTCAACTGATCATGACAGACACTGTACCCATTATTTTAACTACTGTTACATTATGTTGTGAATACAGACAGGCCCAGCACAGATCGACCAAGAGAAAAAAACTCAAAACCTGTATAATAAATGGAGTATATGTAAATATAATCGGACAAAAAAATGTAGAAATTCTTAGTTCAGTTTAGGTAAATGTTCCAAAGATGCAATTTTTGTTTTCCATCCAGAAGTTTGTAAACCTTTACTAAAGAAAAAATAAATGCCATGGCAGACTGTCTTAGCTTTTCATACAAATTGGCCAGCACTTCTAGGAATACATATTTTGATACACTGATATTGTAAGACAAAAGTATTATAAGTGGGCCTTTTAAATGATAAGAAAAAATGCAATCCTAACTGAAACTGTTATAGTGAAATATGGATATCGGACTACAATCTTTTCAGGTGTGACAGGGTGGGGTCAGCCAGTATATCAAAGACACTTGTCTGCACTATGATGGTTGTTCTAATCAAAATCCTAAATGTGGTTATTGTTCTGTTATATAACTTACCAGATGCAAATCCTCTGCAGTTTAAAGAACAAATAATCAAAATAGAATAGTGCTTAAAAAACTTCAAGCCCAACTCCAATAACTATCTTACTTGGCAACTTCAATTTATGGCATCTAAAATGGAAGGATGTGACAAATAATTATATCGGGAAATTCCAATAAAAAGCCTAAATCAACAGGCACATACAAATGCCCTCTTACAGATTCTACTATTTGCTTTAAACCAGCAAACAGTAGAACCAAATAAAAACTATCATAGACCTTATTTTTACGATGATGAACTGGCCAGAAACATAAGGATTACTAACACATTACTTACCGGTAAATAACAACCTAATCAAAGCTCATGAGCAAGATCTTTGACTTGGCTGCTGTTTTATATGAGATCCAACTGGCTTGTATCATTTTCAGGGTTTTAATTTTTTCTAGATCGAAGAAATTTGAATTTGTCAAATGTTAATCATATCATTTTATGTTGTTCATTGAGGCTATTCAATATCTGATAGTGATGGTACAAAAAAACGAGAGGCAAATTTTATACTCAAGTTAAAAATAGCTACTGTACATTAACAAGATATGTTAGTTGGACTACACCAAATTTAAAGTACTGTAAATAGAAAGTATTGTATATCAGTACCGGGTCGATTGGTTGATACTTCGGTGAAGTAATGTACATGTTTAAGTGTATCATTGGCTGCAAAAAAATATGCATAGAATCTATTTACAAACTTCTTAATATGAAGCATCTTATACCAACCTCTGTGGATAACTATCAGTCAACTGTACTATGAAATGTGTCAAACTACAGTATTATCAATGCTTCAGTGACTTACTTAAGTTCTTGTTCCTTCTTTCTTCTCTCTAATTCATCTTTTTCCTTCTGTTGCTTTTCCCTTAATTCCTTCTTTTGGGCATTTCGCTCTTGTTTATCTCGTTCTTCTCGCTCTAGTCTGAAATCTGGGTGAGATTCTGTCTTGGTCTTGTTCAGTCGGTTAATTATTTCATTCATGCGTTTTTCCAATCGAATTTTGCGTACCTATGTTAAGAATACGGTATACATGTTAAAAAAAATTACTAGTACAATACTACATAAATCAAATACAGTACATATAACATATACCAAAAGCATTCATGTCTTAATACTTATTTACTGAAAATTCATAGTTTAAAATAAAATGCATTTATACAATAAAAATTTCTGATTAGGGAACTACTGTAATTGTGTTACTGTACATGATACTCTCAAGAGGAAATGTAATAGGCACAGTATATTGATGTAGAGCAATTTTTGTATTTACACTAGTAGGGGGAAATATGTAAACTTTTTATCTCTAGTATTTTTCATAATCATCATTCATGAAATAAAACTTTTGCCAGCATTAAAACTGATGAGGTTACTTTGCACATGAGAAGAATTCACGTCACTTTTTAAATGTATACAATATTATAAAAACAGAGGTAATTATTTACAGAGTGCCTGAAGATAAGAACAAAGCTATTACACGAGCCATAAGCTTGTTGCAACACACTTTAGGTCAAGATTGATCTCAACTGAAATTATATTCTTGGTGAAAATAAACATTGTAACATTCTATCAATATCTTTGATACCTTATTTCCCAAGAGCCCATCATTCTTGAGGGGGATTGACTATTATTATTTTCTCCATGCAAGTTGTCTGCTTTCAAGGGTGAAATAGCTGAAGGAAGACTTGGAACCTTTACCAAATTTGCACATTTTGCAATCACATAAGTAAAGGAGATAACAGTTGCTTAGAATGAGAAAGAAATACACATGAATGTGTGGGGCAAGAATGTTATAAATATAAAACCAAGCATATAGAAGATTCAAACACTAACTTCACTGAAAAAAAAATCAGCCTTAAAAAAGATGACATGGACCAAAAGGTGACACACAGAAAGGAATGAATTCAATGCAGAGACCAAGGAGGCTTTGGAGGAGAATAAGCCAGCCAAAAGTAAAAGAAACTCAGACACACCTTTTGAAATGACTAAAACAAGATGTCCATACCTAAAGCCAACAAGAAATACTTAAAAAACTGAACGATAAGTTGTGGCAATTTTAAGCATCAGCCAACATCCACCCCTCCCCCCCCAAAAAAAAACATGTACAGTAGTAAACTAAATAAGGTTTATTGAAGTATTTTACCAAGGAACTCACCTCCTTTTCACTGTGAAATCCAACTTGTCCAACATCCATACCTGGAGTCTTGCGAAGGTTGGACCACAGCGTATAAACCACATCTACATTATTCATCTTGTTGCCCTGAAAATTTATATAATTATAATTTAAGCTGCACACATAAAACTAACAGCATGAACAAATTTAATAACATCATGAAACATATCTTAGAATAAACAATATTCATTGAAATTAAATGAACATTTTAATACAAGTTGAAAAACTGTCACTGAATTCTAGTCCTTGAAGTTTCATTTTTGGGTACATTAGTGTTGAAACTTTTTAATTAAAAAAGTATTGTATAAACTGTACTGAATTTAGTACAGTACAGTATACTATGCTATATTTTAGCCTATTTGCATTATTTTGGCCTCAAGAAGTACTTTGCCTCAATTCATCATAAATTTCCATTTTTCTTATCTCACCAACATTAAAGTGTTCTAAGCACTCTAAGCACTACTTTATTATTATCTCATTTGTATTATATTCATTTGGCAAAAAATTTACAGCTCTTTCCCTCGACTTATTTCATCTCATATGAATTTTGTTTTTCATAGAATTTTGTTTTTCTTTTGAACAAGCACCTTTGATCATAGCCACACTTCAGGGGTTAACAAATATATGGTTCAAGTATTTTCTTTTTTTTTCTTTGTGGTTTTTCTCCATTTTATTAAAGGCCTCAAAATGATTTTCATTGATATATCACACCATTGTGATTTCTTTGCAATTCTAATTGTCTTTATTACTTTACAACATTTTAAACTCCTGTTGAAACATGGTGTTTCCAATCCTTATTTGAGACCTCCAGTGAACATCTGGCATCTTAAAAAGTGAAAATTTGCAATATTTTTCCTATGCTAAGTGCATGAATTTTAACAATATAGAATGAAAAAAAATTGTTTAATACTGTTTTTTCTGTGTGCATACAGATGCCCTGTAACCCTTACATACCACAATGACACCTCTGTAGAGGGGGGCTTCACAAGAAAATAAATACAAATTAATAAGACAGAAAAAGCTAATTGGGTTTACCAGTGGAGGAAGAACAGCTGGAAAGAAGGACTGGGCAGAAAAAATGTCAGCTGTACACCAAACACACTAGCCCAACAAGCATGGCATGGCAGAGACACATCCAACAAGTAAGAAGCTTCAATGACTAAAGGACACTTACGGACGTCAGGAATCTCATTATATGCCAAGAAAGGAGAAGGCTGTAGTCGACAAAAATTGCCCCTGGCCCCAATGTAAAAGCTACATTTCAGTCAAAAAGTATGAAACTTTCCAACCATACAAACAGATGCAGGAAAAAATCAACCTTAAAGAAGGAATCCTTAACCAAGGGGAACCCAAATGTGAAGAGAAGACAAGAACTCCAATGTAAACTAGGGCTTCCAATAGACCACAGAAAATATCATGATGTTCAATGACCACTAGTTTCAGCTCCTGCACAATGGTAAATAAGAAGATATCAAAACTTTTCAAATGAGATGCTAAATCAATGATGGTACCTTATGACAGTAGTACTATCTAGAGTGGAATAATGTTGCACACTAATAGTCCCATTCAAAGCTGGAGAAGTTGCAGAGAACCTTTACTGAACAAATCTATTCAATAAAACATCTAAATTAGTGTTACTGCTTAAAATTCCTCAAATTATACTCCTTGGAATATAATTTGTTCCAAATTTTCACACATAAGTAATTACCTGTACTTAAAAGACCAGCAGGCATAGATATAATTTAACACAATTCTATAAACATTTAGGGGCCTAAGCCTTGTTAATTAACTCCCTCTAAACATATGGGGCATAAATAAACGATCTGGCTGGAATAAAATCATAATTTGAGAGCTAAACCATTTTTACCACCTCTTGTAAAACTAAGACAATAAGACTAAAAAACTCAATACTGCCTTTACCAAAGATGTTACCAATGCTTTCTAATGATACCAAAAATGATAGCAATATCCACAAATACAAGTTCTGTTCAGAATAGATGAATTTGTAATATTAAATTTACTGGAACATAAGTATGGTAAGCTTAAGGCACAACAGGTCAACTTTGTCCTGAACTTTGATTCAAGTCTAAGCTCAGCAACTGTATGCACACTAGCTTTTATTACACCTTAAGTATTTCTTACCCAATGTAAAGTAGCAAACCAGTTTGACATACATTAGATAATTATTCATGTCTTCTTGACAAACCAATAGATTAAGTGTTTCAAATTAGAACTATTAATTATATGAATATTACTACATAGTTATATATTGTACATCTAATAGAAATCAGTCACTAAATTAACATAAATTAAGAAAGAAATTGGTGCTAACTAACCTGGATACTATTGGCCTTACATAGCTGGGCAGCATCTTCAATTACAGCCATGGGAATATCATCTATTGTTTGACCCTTGAGGAAAGAGACAAATACTGAAATTATATTATCCTACATGTGCTTTTATTTCTTCTTTGTCAATCATACCTTTATATAACTTACTAAAGTTTACTTTCAATACATTACTTTTAATTTATAATAATGTATATTCTGTACCTGCATTCACAAAAACACATGCCTGCACATTTGTGGCCTTTTCATATACTTAGGGAATTCTATCTTGTTCTTACTGTATTAAGAATAATTGTTAGTATACAAATACTGCAGGATGAAAAATGTAGAAATACCACAGCAATGATATACGGTAATTTGAAACCAACAATACACAGTACTGTAAAACTAAACTACTGATAAGTTAGGTAGTTTACTGTATATAGGTTATTATGTACCAGTACTGTATTTATCATAGTTTGAAAATATAGTAAATAACAGACTGGTACATAACACTGTCAGTTTCAAGCATTCATATTTACTTATACAGCTTAATCACAAGGATATATATGTATTTCTTTTCCTCTATTGCAGAAGTGACAAATTCATATTAATGACACACCTGATTTATAACCACACTTAAAAGATCAGGAACTTACATTAAAGAAAAAATGTATAGCCCAATTTGTCGGTCACTGTGGCCGATGGTTTTTGAACAAAGGGTCACTGAAAATTGAAATGACCTCAAGAATTGTGATATTATGAATGTATACATTTTATTCTAAATTGAACAAACTGTTCTTGGCTCATTTAAAAAGTGATCTGAAATGCAGCCAAAATATTATCATTCTGATGCCATTGACCTGGAACACATTGTCAATAACATAACAGAGATGAGGTTGTCAGATTATTTAATGTATCGGTTAGACAAATATACGAGTGATTGTGTTTGAAAGCATAGCTGCTAAATTTTATTGTAATTTCCTTTTAATCTTTGTTTTTATATAACGTTTGAATTTGTTTTCTTTCTTAAAAAGAATTGTTATTCTTTTATCCGGGCTATAGCGGGTAAAACCCTCCTTTCAGCCTCCAGCACCCAACTTTATGGCTACTTAACATTATTACGTCACAATCACAAACTAATTGTTTTTAATACAGTATGTACTGTAACTTCATAAGAACAAAGATAAAATTTGAGTACAATATTCTAACTAAACTTTGATCAGCCTACCATGACCAAGCTAAGGTACTTCAAAAATTATCTTAATTTTTCTGAATTTGCCATCATACTCTTAACTTTACACATTTTTATATTTTTCTCCTAAAAAGAGAAGTGCACACAATAAATATAAACTGAAAAAAATGCAGCAGTGGAAAGCAAGGTAATTATTGAGAGAAAGCTCTAAGCTGGTATAGCTATAGGGTATATAGCACCAGTGGAAGAGATAATAAGATGAACCTGTATGAGAGAACTGTTATACATTAATTTTTTGCAAGAAAGGATTTTTTTTTTGAGTTTCCAAACACACTGAAACCTTTATGTCATAGCAAACAAAGTGCATAAATTTTATTACTCAAAGCCAAATTGCGGATAAATTGTCTTTAGTCAGGGCCAAGAATGAGGGAGAAACTCAAAACATCTCCAATGACAAGTTCTCAAAAAACTGTATTAAATATTACCTGTAATTAAAAGAGATACTGTACTTTGGTGAAAATACACCCAGCATATAACACTGATTTAAAATTAAAATTACTTGCATAAAACTTTCTATTACTGAATAGTAACTAAATCCTGAGAGTACTGACAGAATCATAACAAAAATATATACTGTACAGTACAGTATTTTGAAAACTAAATACAGTACAGTATACAGTAGTACCACACTGGTGACTTACTGGGTTCAGTCGTAGATAAACATGAGCAGACGAGACTTTGTCGACATGGAACCAAACATCTTCAGGCCAGCCCCATTTAATTAGATCTTCATCTGTAACCAAATTTATGTTTTCATACAGTATACTGTAATGAATGGTGGTAAAATGAGATCTTAAATCTATCAGTAAAGTTATATGAGTAAAGTATACATAATGTAGACAAATTATGAACCAATTTTGTAAAATTAAAAACTCCAGAAGTGACCATTATATAAAGTATATCAGGAAGCTTATCTTATTTCAGTAAACTAATTAAACAATTCTTACTTATATTTAACTACTGTATTTATGAGTATAGGAGCATAAATACTCAATGAATATGACTGGAAAGTCAATAAATTATGAGAGCAAAGGTATAAAAATTATAGGCCTAGGAACACTTAACAAATTAGCTTTATTTGTAATTAAAGTACTGTACAGTACAGGTATTAATAATAATAATCACAATATGTGACAAGCACTAAAATATATAAGAAATTAATAAATTACTGTAGGCTTTATAACTAGATAAATATACCACAGTTTATGTAAAAATTGGTGATATGATACAAACTTTTAAAATCACTCACTTTCATATTTATCAAGTCCCATGAAGAGCGTGACAGGCGGATCCACCACTGCAAGGAAATGTACAGTACTGTATAGTATATTAAAAATAATATTTGTATTTTATCTCTTGCAACTGACAAAATTATAAATTTAGGATTTGAACAAGGTACTTTGTTGCTCAAGTTGCTACAGTTATGGTTTCAGTTTTTTGTGCTTTATACAGTATATGAACTATCAATTAAAATCTTACACAAGATTTTTGCTGTGGGTTCAACAGTTTTGAATAGATGCAAATATTACTTTCACTTTTCTAAAATTTTCACAACTCATTTGATATAAAATAGTATGAAAAATTATATTTTTTAGTCTTCATTACCCCAAAATTGTAATTTTTACCTCATCTGGAGTAATTTAGCCCTTTTTCTCCCCGACCTCTGGTCTAACCTAATGATATATATACAGTACTATTTTAATATTGTAATAAGAATATGAGCTTTGTTGAGATGCCTTTTATACGATTTGTAGAGTTCCAGTTAATGGCATGAGCCATGTCGCAACGGTAAGCAAACCACAAGTTATAATAAATTGTTTTTGTCTAGGATGGTCACCCTGAGTACTGTATATTAGAACATAAGAATCAAGGAAACTGCAGAAGGCCTATTGGCAGCTCCTACTTATATCCACCCTAACTCGCTCATATGCAAGTCCAACCTACGCTTGAAACAATTAAGGTACTGTATTCTACATCTATTACGTTACCCGGTAATTGGTCCCACAATTCGACAACCCTGTTACCTTACCAGTATTTACCCATGTCTTTCCTAAATCTAAACTTATTAAATTTATATCAGTTGTTTTGTGTTCTATTATGTGTTGATATATTTAATATCTTATTAACATCCCTTATGTTATGCCTCGTTATCCAGCATATTTTAAGCTTGTGTCGAAGTCATCACAATATCAAAGTGTTGACGCTCCCCAGGATGCAACCCTACAAGTTGCCTAACTCCTGGGTAACTGTTTACTGTTAGGTTAACAGAGGCATTAGGCGACAGGAAATGTGGCCAACCACTTTAGACATACAGTATATCTTTAGGCATATATCTCAAGACATACTGCATATTTTCAGAAGTGTAATCACCTCTGTCACTTTATATTATAGTTATATGTTGACAAAATTTTGCTACAATGTATCTTTTCATCTTACCTGATATGTTATTAAATTAAATTAAATTAATTTTTTTATTCAGGTAAGGTACATACATACAAGGTAAGATACAAAGTTGATGGATTTATAGATAGCTAGTACATACAATGCCTAAAGCCACTATTACGCAAAGCGTTTCGGGCAGGAAAAACATTAAAGACTAAAACTTAATACTAAGATTAAGGACCTGCCCAAAATGCTGTGCATGTTAGTGGCTTTTTATGAATGTCAAAATACCATTCTTATGTATTCTCACAAACCCATTGTGCCTTCTTGTAAAGAAAATTATTATTATTATTATTATAATTATACCTGTCCTGCCAGAGCTTCGAACCCGGGATTTCCGATTGAGTCGAGAACGAACTGTACTACCGAGCGCCTACCAAATAAATCCTCATTGACAGGACAGAGGGTGTTTTACAGTTTTATTTTTGGTCTAATATGAGTCTAACAAATGTTGTAACTTTGTAATTATATAATCTGTGAGAAACAAAATAATTGTTGTTTCTCAGGGATACTGTCGATGGCCGCACACAACAAATTCTCCCCTTTTATTCGAATTCAGTTTTCTAACCAAAACAGACAAATATTTTATCAAGAAAGAGAACCATAACAGCACTGACCTTTACTAGTAAAATAAAAGACCATAGTGAGCGATTAATAAAAAGCCAGTGTATGTGAAGATAGAGGAGCAGCAGCGTGGCCGGACCAGCTGACACACGTGTAAACACTGGTCGCCAGTGTTGCCACACCTCCGCCACTGTTGCCACACCCCAGCCCTGTCCCCTCCCTCCCCTGGTAACACAGGGGCCTTACATTTCATGTTCTCTCCTGGGCTGCATAATAAATGAACTAAACTAACTAACTCTCCAGATTATATGTATGACTAGCCCTTCTGTGTGATAGGGATGTTGGATGAGCTTGTAGCTCATGCAGAAAATCGTAAAGTTGCTGTTTAATCAGTCAGAAAAGACCTACTACTACATCTTATTTCAAAGCAAATCAACATATGCAATTCTCAAATGCAGAGTATACAAATGCAGTTGCATTCTCTCCAAAATCAGATATTATGTAGCTAACTCTGTTTTTCTCTCACTATATTATGCACTAATCTATCCCTATCTTAGTTATAGTGTCTGTGCATGGGGTTGAACCACTGCAAACCACCTCAAGTCCATCATCACCCAGCAAAAATCTGCTATCAGAACAATAACAAACTCTGCTTTCAGACAACACTCAGCCCCCTGTTTAAATCCCTAAACATGCTAAACATAAACTCACTCCACACATTCTCTTGTGCCATTTACATTTACAAAATCCTGTTCTAAAATGCAAACCCTGCTCTGATGCTCTCCCTGGACAGATGTAATAGGACCCATAATCACCACATCAGAAATAAATATATCTTTGACATCCCCAGAGTCAAACTTAATCTGTGTAAACACTCTATGCAAATAAAGGGATCTAGTCTATGGAACTTACTCCCTAATGAATTGAAAAGTTGTCCAACTTTTGCCTCATTCAATACCAAAACCAAAAGGTACCTAATTTCATCTTCATAGTTTCCTACCTAGTGCTTTAAACTCGCACTGTATCTAGTGCAACCCAATCTCCCAACATTTATGTACCTAAGCCAAACAACTTTACCATTGTGATCATTGCTGTCATCTCAAATGTGCTATCAATATGGCTTATTGTGCCTATTAATCTTTGACAAATTATCAATCAAGCTGTCAATGCTATCAATCAGAGCTATCGATGTACTTTAATATACCAACTAATCTCTCATTTTTTTCTTGCAATGTACCTATTAACATTTTATAAATTTTGCTAGAATTTGCCTACTTAATATTATCTGTTAGATTAAGGACCTGCCCGAAACGCTATGCGTGCTAGTGGCTTTACAAGAATGTAAAATCAACTTAATTTCTTTGTTCTCTGTTAACCCTCAATGTACATTCTTGTATATAAATAAATAAATAAACACAATGCTATGTACCCTCACAAACCCAATGTATCCTCTTGTATATATAGAAATAAATAAATAAATTTGATTTTTTTAGAGGCATGTGTATTATCCCCTGATTCCATGTATGACTAACCATCCTGTGAGATGGGAATTCAGTAATAGATGAACTTATAGCTAGCTTTTGATCTACACTATGTTTTCTTCCATATAGAATAGGGTAGCAGCACATTGTTGTGTATACCTAAGCTAAAAATAAAAAATATAAAATGGCCACATCTCACAAGTGGCCTCAACATGGGCAGGACGCCGATGGTTTGTCAGAGATCAGCTAAATTTATTCTGATGATTTTATTCAGCTGGATCTTGAGGTGAAGCAATTATGCTTCGGCATTTACGGCTTCGGCGGGTAAGTAGTTCCATTGGTTTATATCCCCATGGTCCCTGGTTCGTTCCTGGCTCCTGGTTCCTGTTCCCCCTGGTTCCTAGTTCCTGTTCTCCTCCAAGGTCCCTACCCAGTCACCCAATTTACCTAAATTTACCTGAGGTGACCACTTTTCGTGGAAACTATTGTGAAACTTCTCACTGGTTGTATTTTGTGAGCACTTAGTGTTTTAACTTCTTCAATTCTTTATTTGTTTGATAATTATATTTTATGGTAATTAGTGAGTACAAACACGAAATACTTAATCGTGTGACATGTAGAAAAACAGGATAGGAAATGACATGTCCACCAGAGCTCCGGCATCTATAAAATTCGCACTGCACCCTCCCTGAGGTGCAGTGAAGTGCTTACGGGCTCACCATAGCCCGTGCTACTGGAACTTCTTGTTCTGAGTAGCTGAATCTAAAACAACAATTACAACTTCGGCGGGTAGGCGGTTCCATGGGTTTATAATCCAGACGGTGAAAAAACATCTCCTCTTTTCAGTCCTACATAATGTAACTTGTTGAGCTTGAAACCGTTGCTCATTGTTTATCTCAACTGACCTTTTGAAGATGTACCTTATAATAATATATATATATATATATATATATATATATATATATATATATATATATATATATATATATATATATATATATATAAAATAGTCATTGGTCATCAGTCTCTGATCATAATAATTTGTGGTCAGATGCGTGAATGGGCAATTGTATTTTGTTCTCTCGTATTATATTAATTAGTAATCATTATTAGGAATCGACGGGAAGCGTGTTAATTCAACCGTATATATAAAAAAACGTATAGAAATGGACTGCTGGACCCTAAAATGTTCACATTTTGTATTATTGAATTACCATTTCACTGGCATGCTAAAGAAATGGAACGGTATCTAAAGAACCTAACCTGTCCTAGTCCTTATATACGCTATATTAGGCTTAACTTAGTAAATATATGGTATACTAGGCCTAGGAAAGCTCATGTTTGGGTTTTTACGTTTGTTCATGTCTAGAAAATGATTAGTACACAACGTGAACTTGGCTGCAAGTGTTCATTTTTTGTGAAAATGAACATTTACATTCGACTGAGCAAATATTACTTCTAGAGGGTTGATGTTGATGGCGAGCGAGGTGTCGGATGCACCCATTGCCAAAGGGTGAGCTGCTGTGTCACCAAAGTTGACATAGCATGTCACTGTTATCACATCAATAGGAGAATAAGACGGCGTGTTGATCTCTCTACGTGTATTATAACAAAACTGGTAAAGATTATTGAGTGTGTAGGCACAGAATTTAGGACTATACATCTTAATGTCTCTTTTTACTATTGAAACCAAATCTGGTGACGCTAGTAAAGGACGTGTTGCCACTGTGTTACGCTCCACGGCACATCTGACGCAGCACCGGACCGGTGTGGGACCTTCACAACACACCTGCCGCAGCACCGGACTGGTGTGGGGACCTCCACAACACACCTGACGCAGCACAGGACCGGTGTGGGGACCTCTACAACACACCTGACGCAGCACAGGACCGGTGTGGGGACCTCCACAACACACCTGACGCAGCACCGGACCGGTGTGGGGACCTCCACAACACACCTGACGCAGCACCGGACCTGTGTGGAGACCTCCACAACACACCTGATGCAACACCGAACCGGTGTGGGGACCTCCACAACACACCTGGCCACACACTCTAGTTAGCTTATATTTCCACCTTCTTGGTGAGGGTCCAGTGACGTCTGACTGTCTATATCCAGCACCAAGAGGTCCCACCACCAGCACAGTCACAGCCCCGCTCCTGTGCCAGGTACGTCCACTACGGGCTCACCATAGCCCGTGCTACTTGGAACTTTTGTTCCCCAGTAGCTGAATCTAAAACCCCAATAACAATCCCACCATGAGGCTGTAACACTGCGCCAGGGAATCTCGGCTCAAAACTACCTGAGACACAATTACCCTATATATAAATTACTACTTAGAACAATAACAAACTCTAACCCCTGACATCATGCATCACCTTAATTTAAACCCTTGAACATGCTAAATATGAAAACTATACGTACATTCTCAAGCGTAAATTTTCAAAACATTAGCAACAGAACCCATAGACACCAACATGGGAAATAAGTATCTATTTAATTTTCTAAGAGTCTGACTTAAAGTAGAAATGTCAAGCAAATAAAAGGTCTAAATTGTGGGATAGACTCCTAAATGCAATAAAATGTTGTACTACCTTTTACACATTTATAAAACAAAATATTAACTTGCTGACATAATGTAATCGTTTACATATCTACTACATCAGATAATATAAACCTCTCGTAGAGTCTTCACACTTAGCCAGTTGTATATGTTGTTATTTTTAACTGTTAAATACAATAATATACTTGAATTTACCTGACGGCCACTATCTTTAGTGGCCTCGGCGGGTACAGGCAGCCGGCGGCTTGTTAAAGTTCCCCCATTGTTCCTGATAATTTTTTCCAGCTGAATTATTAATCTATTAATATTATAACACTTCTCATGTTAAATTCAATATTTACCACTAAAGCTATAGAATCTAAAATAAAGTACTCTACACACTCTTGCATCAAGTATCAATCTAGAACACCATAGTAGCATCATTCTTGTTTTAACATTTGTTAATTACATCTCTTGAATATTAAATATGACCCTTAAAAGTAATAACTCACACATTACTTTAAGGTTTGCAAGATTGGCTTTAAAAAATATAAAAATACCAACTGTAAACATTGCAATCACACGCTATGTAATATTATTTTTTATTACAAATAAAATGGTTATTATTATTATTCTTATGTATAAGATAAATGTTTCCAACCAACGACTGGGTTTATAGTAGAGTTAAACACTTCGAAGCTGCACTTCAAGTTTCCTAGTTTAAACTCTCATAACACTTCCATACTAAACATTAAAAGTATAATAATAGACTTCATGTTAGCAACTCTAGCTGTTTCATGGACGCTTTTAACTCAGTATTATTTAATTTATGGATGTTCTAATGTCACTTCATCATTATTGAACTGAACTATTATATATCAATAAGCAGGGTCTGGTGTAGACGGATCAGTACAATAAGGACATCGTCAGAAGCACGAGAACTTGGACAGCAACGAGCCAAAGTTCTTTGTCGAGGTTGCTGCTGCTGTTGGAGTATTCATTTGGCCTCTGGTGGCGTGGTGATGTGCGGCCAGACATTGACGGAGACTCTGTTGAGTACGTCTGGTATTGAGTTCTTGTGGTCTCTGTCATCGTGTGCGAAGGAAGAGGAGGCGTCGAGCGAGATGAAAAATGAGAATCATAAGTCCTTGTTGTGTGAAACATTACGGATGTCGT